ATAGCTCATGTATGCATCCCGTCACCCTCTGAGTCTGACGACCGCACGAAGCTCGACGCCGTCAACAAGCGCGGACACTCCCCATTGTGACACCAAAGTAAGTCTATGGAACTTCAATATCAACTTAAATGCGACTAATGTACATCGCCCTAGCTCCAGGTGCTCCGCTAAGGCCATCTGCGGGACAATCAGCGGATCGACGTTGAGCTCAAGACATGCTCGACCACGAGCCTCGGGTGCTCGTCGATACGGGTGTGCTGTCACCCTAGGCCCTAGCGATGGATCCAGGACGCGCGAGATGACGTGAACAGGACCAGGCCAAGGAGCCGCGCGTCGAGCAGGAGGTGAGGAACGATCCCCACCCAGGTGAGTGAAACATCGGCATTACTGCGCGCATCTGAATGCTGACTACATTACAGCCTTACATTTTCAACTCTCCTTCCCTCGTGCTCGCCAACGCAAGCGTTCAAGGTGTGCAAGCTGTCCTGGGACTTTTCTGTCAGGGGTGCGGCCTGTTAGCCCACCACACGATCTACCCCCTCTGACGACTCGACCACCAGCACAGTCCCAACATGAACCTGGTGTCGCCCACTATAACGCACGACACCCACCGCTCGAGGTCCTCGCACCACAATGACGGGGACTGGCACGCCGAGTCGTGGACATCCGCCAAGGCGCCGATGACGAGCTCGCAGTTCCACGCCGAGGACAAGTCGTTCGCGGCAATCATGGAGGACCCGCGCGACCGCATCGTCAACTGGAAGGGCCACCCGCTCCTAGCTCTGGCCGCTGCAGATATACGACCTACTCTCCGTGCGCCAATACTCGCTCGTGCGCGAGTTCTACATGTACGTGATCAAGGACGCGATTATGTGCTTTATCGAGGAGAAGAAGAAGTCGATTGGCCAGTTCTTGCAGCCTGCCCCGCTGGCGGAGGACGGGGCAGGCACACACCTGCAGTGGTGAGTCTCCAGACATCTCCTTTGTCCCCTGGCCACCACATCTCACCATCACAGCCTTGCTGGCCACATGATATTGTCGAAGCCGCCACAAGGTTCAAGAGTACGGCTCGCATTCGCAATTTTGACTTTGCTTTCCATAGTGCATTAGCTGGAGCGATAGTATAGTTCCTATAACTAGTACTATATCATCAGTGTCATGTTTTTCATAGTATTAAATACTCAAGTCCATGAACCATTGCAGAACATAAAGGACCCATGCTACAAGTATCTTAGGGTGTCACGCTGTGACACTTCGCGTCGGACGAGCGAATTGCTTTCGTTGCGTCAGTGGATCTAGTACCGCAGACAGGTAAAAGCAAAGCTGCTCGGGTAGCGATTGCATGAGGCATGCCCGAAAGGTGGTGTGTAGATTATAACGAGGAACAAATCCGTCAGGCTGCATTACGATCTGGACCAAATGGCTTTGTCGGTGAGTACTCTTTCTGCAGCTTTCCATGTACACGGGGTTGAGAATACACATATTGGTATAGGATTTCTAGAGTTCAACCCGTCCGTGTTCGGCATTCGAAATGCTCCTCAAATTATGGATTTATCCTCGTGTGGGGGCTATTCCATTGACGAATCCGAACTGCGCGCTTTACCTCAACAAAAGAAGAAGAACAGTAAAGAGGATTGCGAGCTGGATAGTAAATAATCTCACAGGCTTGGATTCTTGATTCCACGCTTATTTCTGTCTCCTACAGTTGTGACAATGCGTCAGATGCTAGGCCTAGATGCACAGACCACTCATCGCCCTCATGTACGGATGCCCATGGCACCCGTGCATGCTGTTGCCAGGGGTAAGGAGCTGGCTGTAGCTATAGGAGAGGTGGGCCTCAATTTATGTTCTTTCATACTTGCTCACTCACTATGTCTCAGCTCGTAATGGTTATACACTTCTTCACCGAAGGGCACCTCCTTGTGGATTATACGTCCAACCATGGTTTTTTCCAGACGATAGTACCTTGCGGTGAAAAAGGGAAATCATTCCAGCTGCCGAGTGACCTAGAGGACCCTACTATTGCTGCAGGTCCAAAGCGGCATGCTCGTAAGATGTGGACCATAGTAGGTCGCCGCTATACAATCTCCGGGGTTGATCACCAAGGTGAGTAACTGACTGAATAAGTTGTTACAAGCTGAGTGAAACATTGTTTAGCTTTTATGACTGCACGTCTAGGGCGGATGCGGCGTACTGTAGAGACACAGGATCTACGTCCAGGTTCAGCTGTGAGTGATGATTTACTCTCGCTGCATTCCTGGGTTAGCTTATAGTCCTTCACTTTGCAGCTATGGGATACCATCTGGGATGCAGGACATGGTCCTGACTGGTTCCTGGAGAAAGAGAAGGCTGTGGAGCAATATGATAGCTGGGCGTTGACCTTTCCCCAGGAAGAGAGTCGCAAACCCATCCTGGATGTTATCACAGGAGATCAACAAACATTTAACGGTATGGGCGCTTGGATGGCTACTGACTTGCTAGCCAGGTGTTGCATCCATCCTTTGCAACCTGCTTCTGCTGTCAAACGGTCGAAGATGTTTATTTCGCGCATCAGGGCTGAGATGCTCAGGATGGCTGGCCTTTTTAGACCTGCGTTCAAGAAGCCTGAGGTCAAGTGGGTATATGTCTTCATGCCCAAAGGATCACCCTACTCGTTCTGCGAACATGCTCACCGCAGTTGGAGCGGGGCAGTATGGGTTTATAGAAGGACCAAGGCCAACCTATCTCCAGAACAAATGGAGCTTGCTCCGCTCGGCTACCTGGACCCTCGCTACAACTTGCACGCAGACGGTGAGGCGACCATAGACCGTAAGTGGTGTGAAGAAATGAAAGTGGTCTTGTCTGACTCTCTTATAAAGCTTCCAAAGAACATCTAGAGCCACGTCACTTCCTATACCGAGACTTTCCAATCCATGTGTATAGGAAAGGTTCGGGCAAGTACTATACATATATCCAGGCTGCTCCTCCACGTGAATGGGTGAGTGCATGCAACCTTTAGGATCTCTCCCTTGCTTACTGTCTGTATAGTATGATGGAGTCTCCATCGTTGAGCCAGACGATGATGTCTTCGGCAATGGTTACCTGAACAAATCGACGCTAGGCCCATATTCGTTTGAGTTATTCGTGAAGTCCAGACTCTCAAAGACAAAGCCTCAGAGAGGTCGTCCAGCCAAGCTCAAAACAGGAAGTAGAGGTGAGTACTCGACTGGTTATGTGCTTGGATGTTCTCAATAGGATGACGGGTCCAGGGGGACCAAAGTCTGAACATAACAAGAACAAGCTTGAGGCATATGCTCGCTCTTCAAAGCGCCGCAGGATATCGTATGAGCTAGGGCTGGAGCTGCAAAGGACAGAAGAAGCCCATGATGATGGATTGATAGAAGTCGGTGAGAGAGACGATGCATCATCCTTTCATGATGGCAGCCTAGCCCAAGATGACGGTCGGAGACGTTCTCAGAGGTTGAGAAAACATGATAAATAGCATTTCAAAGGGTTTATGGATGCGTTACTTTTCATTAGATCTAATGCAGAGCCCCAAGGCAATCGAGCAGACGGACCTAAGTATTCGAGTCGGATGCCAGCGACGTGACATTAGGAGCATCACAGCCACCAATGTGACATTAGCAGTGTCACAGTGTCTGTGACATGAGACCCTAACACTCGGTTTTGTATGTTCTCCTCCTAGAAATGGCCCATAGAGCCTTATATGAGGCTGTTTAATTGTATAAAAATATAAAAAGTAGGATACAAATATAAGAATCTTCCGGTATGACGATTGTTAGGGTACAGATTCACCTTCCATATTCGGTTTCAATGCTGAGGCTCCATTACATAAGGCACGTCAGTCAATGGCTACGACGATCTGAGTTACAACGGCGCTTACCCATATCACACCAGAGTCAAAACCGCAGTGTTCTAGAGAC